TCACCACAAAGGCTCAGACGCAAATAAAACTTACAGCGGCACAGGGACCCCACATGTACACATTTGTCAGGATTTAGCTTAACGCCGGAGTAAAAAAAAAAACAACCACAACTACAGCTAACAGCTAACAAAACACCAACAATAAAAACGTTTTGATTTTTCCCAAATTGCTCTCACGTTTTATTTTTTTAGTGAGCGCTTCAGTTATTTGATTTGATTTTTTCTCCTTCAGAGTTTGCGTTTTCGGTTCGGGGTTTATGTCCTTTGTGATCTTTTCTGTTCGTGTGAATCGTTTTGTGTTTTTTTGCCTGTCTGGAAGAACGTTGTGTGGGGTATTAGAATTCCATGTGTCTAACCACAGTTATTTTTTTTGTTTTAAATGGCCAAAAGTGGTTACAGTAGCCCGACATGAGCCTATGGGGTCAGAGATTAGGATGAGGTTTAAAAGAAAAAATGTGCAAACATTTTTGACAGCCAATAATAGGCTTTAAATGTGTTCTGGGGGGTTCGATCCGAAAAAGCCGTTCATAACCAGTAGGGAAAATTCAAAAGTCGTATGGAACTTCCTATATGCTACCCTTCATGCCGATTTGGCTTTATAGCGGATGAAAGTTAAAATCGCAAGAATTGAATATATGGAACCTATATCTTAATCGGAATGGAATTCCACAAAATTTTTAAGAGACCTTTTTTCTGATGTATTAGACCTCAGAATGCAGTTGCTCAGACTGCATATTGTAACTTCAAGAAGGCTTAAAATAAAAACTCACAGGGATACTATAGCTATATCTGAATCGATTTATTCCAAACAAAGCAACCGTTATTCTAGTTGGAAGTTGATCAAATAATTCACAACTAAATCTAATCATACAAACGTAGCACTGGATGGGATTATATGCAGTTAAAAAAAAAATAATTGAATAAAAAATAAAATAAAAAACAAACGTGTAAAAAAGGCGTGTGATAAGACCAGGTTTATGGAAATTCGTACTAAAATTTACTAACAAAGGGTTTTTGGAAACTTGAAATTTAAGGTTGGTCAATAAATTTCTAAAAGGTCATAAACTACAGATCTTCTATGAGAAGATCAACAGATCTTCTATGAGAAGATATACAGATCTTCTATAAGAAGATCTACAAATATTCTTCTATGAGAAGATCTACAGATCTTCTATGAGAAGATCTACAGATCTATGAGAAGATCTACAGATCTTCTATTTGAAGATCTACAAATCTTCTTCTATGAGAAGATCTACAAATCTTCTTCTATTAAAAGATCTGTAGATCTTCTCATAGAAGATCTTTAGATCTTCTATGAGAAGATCTACAGATCTTCTATGAGAAGACCAGCAGATCTTCTATGAGAAGACCTACAGATCTTCTATGAGAAGGACTACAGATTTTCTATGAGAAGATCTACAGATCTTCTAGTAGAAGATCTACAAATCTTCTAAACGAAGATCTACAAATCTTCTACACGAAAATCTACAAATCTTTTATACGAAGATATTCAGATCTAGAGATCTTTTATGAGAAGATCATCAGATCTTCTATGAGAAGATCATCAGATCTTGTATGAGAAGATCTACAGTGTCTGTCTGGTTGGTGCGTACGATAAAAGACTGACTCTACAGATCTTATATGAGAAGATCTACAGATCTTCTATGCAAAAATGGACAATATCGTTCCATTTCATCAAGTACCTCCCCCACAAAGTATCAACATTTTGAATAATTATAATTCATACAAAATGTGATCTAAGAGTCCGATTATTTTCAAATTACAAACATCACATTATTTTTATTAACCCAAGGTCGTATGTGAAGATGGAATATATCGGAATATATCCCTCCGGTACCTCCCCCATAAGGGTCAATATTTTGAACAACCTAAAATTAACATTCGATTCAATTCAGACTTGGTGCATATCAATATTTCTTTCAATACAAGATCTGTTATAAAGATGGTAGAGATAGGAATATTTCTTCTGGTAACTCCCCCACAAAGGGTCAAAATTTTGAATAACATAAAATCATTCATAAAATCCGAAAAAAAACATCCAATTATCCCACATCCCATTATTTCTACTCCACTCCACTGTCCACTCCTTCTGGTACCTCCCCCACAAAGGGTCAACATTTTGAAAATCCTTGCAGCTCATAAAACACTAAATTAGCATCCGATTCCATTCATACTTAGAGCATCTCAATATTTCCATCAATACAAGATATGTTACAAAGATGGTAGAGATCGGTTCAATCCTTCTGGTATCTCTCTCACATACGGTTAAAGATTTTGAAAAATAAAACGCTCAGAGAATGCGAAATAAGCATCCAACTCTCTCCAAATGAAACACATACAAACAATTTTGCTAACACAAGATCTTTTGTGAAGATGATAAATATATGTGAACCCTCTTTTGGTACCTCACGAACAAAGAGTGACAATTTTCAATACTTTTATCTGCCATAACTTTCGAAAAAAGTCAGTGATTCTCTTCGAAATTTGATATAATTGTTCGATTTTCTTGTAACATTGCCCATACAAATAGTGGTAAGGGTATTATGTTTTTGTGCATTTGTTTGTAACATGGAAAAGGGAACGAGATAGACCCATAGTGCCTTTTGGTGATCAGCGTAGAATCATATTTTAAGTCGATTTTTGCATGTCCGTCTGTCTGTCTGTCCACGTATTTTTGTAAATTAAATGCAGGTCGCATTTATTATTCGATTAAGATGAAATTTTCTAAATAACATTTGTTTGGCTCAAGGACGAACCCTATTGAAATTGGTGAAAATCGATCCAAATTTAGATATAGCTCCCATATATATCATTATTCGATTTCTGGTTTATTGTGCACCAAATAGCTTCAAATAACCCAAATGCAGTGAATTTTCGAAATTCAACCAAGTTTAGCATAGAATGAAGAATTTCAAATTTGCTCCCATACATATACGTTTCATCCGATTTGGTTTTTAAATCTCCAACTTTCGGAATATGCACTCTACCACACTGATATTTTGTACCAGATATGTCATAGAGCTTAGAAATAGCAAAATAAACCTTTCTTTTACGAGAGTTCCATTAAATATGCATAGTGCTGTAGGGTATCATATAGTCGGCCCAGCCCGACTTTCGAGCTTTCCTTACTGGATATTTCCTTTAAATATGATTGTCGCTATAACTTTCGAAATCGATTTTCAGTCTTTTTGATTTCTTTATACCCTACACCACAAGGTGGTCAGGGTATTATCTATTTGTGCATTTGTTTGTAACAGGCAAAATGAAACGAGATAGACTCATAGTTCCTTTTGATGATCAGCATAGAATCACATTTTGAGTCGATTTATGCATGTCCGCCCCTCAGTCCGTCTGTCCATGTATTTTTGTGAACAAAGTACAGTTCGTATTTATTACCCGATCCAGATGAAATTTTGCACAAATCATTTGTTTGGACCAAGGACGAACCCTATTGAAATTGAAGGTAATCGGTCAAAATTTAGATATAGCTCCCATATATATCTTCGTCCGATTTGCCTTTTTTGTGCACCAAACGTGTAATATCAGCCCGAATCGTATGGAATTTTGTACATACAACCAAATTAAGCCTGAAAATATGTATGCCAAATTTGATCGAAATCAGTTCAGATATAGCTATTGCTCCCATATATATTATTCATCCTATTTGTTATTTTTGGCCTCCGCTGCCGTAATATGCACTCTGTAACAACAATATTTGGGGAAAAATATCAAATGCAGCTCAGAAATACATTTGCTAAATTTTATCGAGATCGGTTCTGATTTGGATATATCTCCCATATATAACTTCGTCCGATTTACCTTTTATTGTACACCAAACATCTAATATTTGTCCAAATGTTATGGAATTTGGCACTTACGACCGAATTGAGTCTAAAAGCTAGTATGTAAAATTTGGTGAAGATCGGTTCAGATATAGCTATAGCTCCCATATATATTGTTAATCCGATTTGTTATTTTTGTCCTCCGCTGTCGTAATATGCACTCTGTAACAACAATATTTGGGGAAATATATCAAATACAGCTCAGAAATATCTTTGCCAAATTTAATCGAGATCGGTTCCGATTTGGATATAGCTCCCATATATATCTTTATCCGATTTCATATTAATTGTGCACCAACACAATACAAGTCCGAATTTAAAAGATACAAATTTTTCGTTAAATTTAGTCCTTTGAACTTTAAATTATAATTATAATCATAGCGTGTATGATTGAATTCTCCCATAAAAACCTTTTATTGTTATGCGGAGCTCTACTAAATTAGCAAAGTGGTGTAGGGTATCATAAAGTCGGCCCCGCCCAACTTTAAGACTTTCTTTACTGGTTTTATTTTATTTCCATGCCAGGTTGTTTTATTTCGTCGTTTTTATAAAAAATCTGATAAAATGAGAATAAAATAATTCACCGTTTATATACCATTTAAAGGTCAATAGTGTTGTCATAAAAACAGATTTAATATAAAATGTTGTGCATTTCTTTGGAAAGTATACAAAACATGGACGTAGATGTAATATTCAATTGAGGGGTAGTCATCATTGAACCCCCTTTCCAATCACAAATACCTAAAATGGACCATCACATTAAATAATTTTTTAATGGGTGGTCATGTTTCATAAAATTGTAGTTGAAACCTGCTCCTGCTACGCCCATGACCACTTCACCCAAAATGCAATTCATAGCCTAACCAACAACCTGCGGCATTTATGGTGGCTGAGAAAAAAAAAACTAAAATTAATTTTTTATTTGGCTGAATTATGGCTTGTTGCGGTGATATTTTCAACTTCAACTTTTGCCAGGAAGACCAGAGAAACTGCACCTCTCTCAGCAAAACAAAAACCCCAAACAAGCCCCCACAAAAAGTAGTCGTGGGGTTTAATCCCAGAAATAAAAAATGAATAACACAACAGATTTTCCACAAAAATTTCATGATTTTTCTTTTTTATTTAATTTTTTCTCTCTCTTTTCGTTGAATTGATTGCTTATGTGTAAGAGACCATAGAATTATGTGTGTGTGTGTAAATCACATTGACATGTAGAAATGCAAAAAGTTTTCCATTAACACCAGATTACCGTTAATCACTTGACTTGTTATCCTCCAAAGTCCTTGAACAGGCTCCTCCTTCTCGGCATCGATAGTCGACGACTGACAGCCTGCATTATTATCCAGAGTGGATTATGGTATCGCCTGTGACAACATCCTCTTCATCCTGTAGGCCTGTTGTCGTTGTGAGGCCACATGTCATCATCAATACAAAAATAGACATTTCAATCATTCGACAGACACAAAAAGTCAATATGTCAACTAAATGTTCGGCAACACCCATATAAAGACACATGGCGCGTGAGACTCGACAAATCTAAGGATTCTTCTTCTGATGATGATGGCAATGCAACTGCCAATGAAACCGTCGATGATGATGGCGTTGATATCTCACAGGACGGTGTTAGACCATGAATGCCTGCATGTAAACGATTGGATTTGTTCTGCTGTTGTTCTTCACACAAAAAAAAAAACTTTTACGAGCGTTACAATTTTTTGATAGCTTTTTTATGTTCCTGTGATGGACGTGTTTTATTATCGGGTATTTTTGTTTTCCTCCTTCCCACCCTCGTTATCTGCAATTTGTAAACAAGAAAATCACGTCTTTAGAAGATACTTTAAAACTCGTAAATTCAAATATTTCGAAATGCCGTAACGCAAAAGCGTGCTAAGTGTGATGTTCCACTGATGGTTTGATGGATTCTAAATTGTGAACATGTTGCTGCTACAGCTGCCACTGCTGTTGTTTGCATACATGACTGCCAAGCATAAACGGAAAACGTTGGCACAAAATTTGCGTAGCTTTATAAGAGAATTCCTTTCTTCGTTCATTGCAGACGATTTTGCGCAGTCCCAGATTAACCAGAAAGGGAACATTTTTTATATGATTACAATTCTCTTTGTTCAATTGTATGGTATCTTGTTGGATTTTGCAACTATGTGTTATAATTAAAAAAAATATTGAAGAATTTTATTTTTGAATTTTGAAATATTGACCGAATTAAATAAACTTCAGAAACGTTATTAAAAAAGTTGTTGCAAAATGGTCAGGCTTTATACCTTTATTGTTGTTTTTATAAAAACAACGTTTGTTTATTAGTGGAGAACGATGGTAATGTTTACCAGGGGGTAAGGCAGGGAATACCTAGGTTTCGGAAAGAGCCACCAATCCTCATCAGTTCCCTTGTTTTTTTGTCTGGGATATTCTCCCCAGAAGTTATTTTAAAAATAACTTCTATGACAAAAAACATTTTTTACACAAGTGACGAGATCGTAAGCTCAATAGAAGAGGAACCAAAGAATTAAGTAAAACTAAAATTCTTTTGGAAAGTCTTCTAAATCTTACAACCGCACTTATAAACATTTACATCTTTCTCCACTAGTTATGCTTTCGTTCAACCTGAACGAAGTAGCATAACCATAACCAAGTTGGTTTTGTCTGTTACAACAAAAACCCCTTCATTTTGGTCTAAATTCCAAAACCTTGAAAAATAGGGAGAAATCCTTAGCGAAAATTTAAATAAAGGGGTATAATTTCACAAGGACCGTACCTTAACGTGGTTCCACCTTGACAACAATTTCAAGCAGACTTAGCACAATAAGAATTCAAAATACCAAATTTTGTAGAAATTATATGAAAGGCATGACTGAAATGTAATGCAAGTAAAAAAGCAGCTAAGTTCGGCCAAGTCGAACGTTTTATACCCTCCACCATTTGAAAGAAACTTGAAAAATTTCAAAGAAAACAAACCGAAAGCTACCACTTAAATGAAAACTGTTATACCTACTTACGAAATTGTTTTTCCTAGGCTCTAGTACTCATTACGAACTTCAAATGCGAAATTTGAAACGATTCCGGTGAATAATGTCGCAAAAAAATATTAAAATATCGAATATTGGGAGGTACCGTCATATGGGGGCTATATGAAAACGTGGACTTGCATGACCCATTTACGACATATCCTGCCTACTGGCAAACTATGTATGTATGTAAAATTTTAGCTTTCTATCCCAATTCGTTCGAAAAATAGCATGATTACAGCAGAGAGGTGGACATAGCTAGATCGTCTTACGATTTTACGCTGATCCGGAATATATATCTATTATGAATATTTCGAGGAGTTACAAACGGAATGACAAAGCTAATATACTCTCCATAGAATGGTGGAGGGTATAGAAAAATCTAGTTAAAAAGTATCACTCGGCTATGCATATTTATCTTAGGTTTCTGGTTAAGAGAAATATTTAGATATAGCAAGTTGTAAAGAATCGCTGAGATACCAGAAGGGGTTCTCTGATATATATCATCTTCACAACAGATCTTGTGTTAGCAAAAATGTTAGTGTGTGTGAAATTTGAAGAGAGTTGGATGCTTATTTCGCATTCTTTGAGCGTTTGGTTTTACAAAATCTTGAACCCTATGTGGGGAAGGTACCGTAAGCAATGGTCCGATCTCTATTATCTTTATAACAGATCTGGCGTTGATAGAAATATTGAGATATACCAAATTCGAATGGAATCGGATGTTAATTTAACGATTTATGACCCTTTGTTTGGGAGGTATAAGAACGAGGGAGCGATCTCTACCTTCTCTATAAAATACCTTGAGGTGATAGAAATATTTAGATGTGTCAAATCTCGTTTTATGAACTTCATAGATATTATAAATTATAATTTTAACAGAAGAACAGAATACATTCCATCTCACACCAGACATTGGGTTAAAAAAAAATAGTTTTGACCATTTGTGGAAAAGGTATTTAATGGAGTGGACCGATATTGTCCATTTCCACACCTAACAATGATACAAATAATGGGATTATCCTTTCTTCTTCTGTGCAGTAAAATATATTTTTTTTTTGTTTTTGAAAATTTTGACATTTTGTGGGGGAGGTACCAAAAGGAATAATAACATTACGAAGTACTAAGTTTGGACCGAATCGGATACCCCTTCCGAGAGTTATCTTGCGCAATAGCCACCCAGACAAACGGACGGACGGACACCCCTTGATCGACTCCAAATGTCCTGAAACGGACTTTGTCCGGAGAGACGTTATTATTTCGATGAGGCACATTTTGGTTGTAACAAATGATATATACCCTCTGTAGCCATATAACTGAGGGTATAATAACGGCAACATTTAAACCACAAACATGCGACGACACCAATAATAACAGCGTGATCCTCGTATCACCCTCGTATTCGTTGGCCGCGTAATGAGCAATTCTACTTTCACCAAAATTCGTTTACGGCATAAGGTAAATAATTCGCATTCATTTGGCAATGCCGGTCAAACACGGTGGGTTACGATGAAAGAGACTTGTTTAATTTTATAAATCATTTTCTGTCCTCCGTCTAACAGAAACGTGACCTTTAAGTTTATTTTTACAAGGGCTTCGGTTCGTTAATCTGCAGAAGCTTTCACTCACTGTCTCGCAGTATCTTCGGCTCGCTATTCCGCAAGAGCCTCGTCTGCCTGATCCGCAGGAACTTCGGCTCGCTCAAACATTGGTAGTTAGTCAGAGGTGGTCATAAACTGTAGTGCTGGCTGAAATAGTTTCCTAGCCATTGTACACCAACCAAAGAGCGAAACCTGAACATAGCCACAGTAGGGTGCCGAACCCGAACGAGTGCCGATCCATCTGCAAACGCCTAGATAGCGAACTACCGAATCCGAAAAAAATCCCAATCTATCTTAAAAAGACCTGGTCAGCTGTTTCCGAAAACATTCCTACAGTGAGCTGCCGAACCCGAACAACCAAAGACGACCTGGGCATCTTCTCCCTAGTTGTCTCTACCGTAAACTGCCGTCCCTGGGCGATTATACCACGAGTCCCCAGCCTGTCTCCGAACACCTGGAAATCATCTCAACCACCCTCATCGTAAAACCTGATAATCTACCATTCGAGAGCATGTCAAAACGAATCCTTGGGCAGCTGTTTCCGAAAAAATACCTTCTGTGAGCTGCCGAACCCGAACAACTTAATATGGACTGGACATTTTCTCCCGAGTGTTTCTACCATGAACTGCCATCCCTGGGCGATTATACCACGAGTCCCCAACCGAAGACATAGACATCATCTCAACCAAATATAATGCAAACCCACTTGACAGCACATCAGCACTAATCTCAGCCATCTTAGAATACCTGTACAGCTGCTTCCGAACACACATACGGTGAGCTGCCGGACCCCGACAACCTAAGACAAAGTGGACATCATCCCAAGAGTGTTTCTACAGTAAACTACCGTCCCCGACTATTATATCATCATTACATTACGAGTCTCCAACCCGTCTCCGAAGACCTGGACATCATCCCAATCACTTACATCGTAAAATCTATATACCTACCACTCGTCAGCCTGATGATTATTCATTAGAGTTCCTGATTACCTTCAAATCGTAAACTTTCCGAACGCCGACGTTAATACGAACACAAACATCATAATTCCTAATCTCCCGCACAAGTCAACATCTGGATTCATTCAAACTCCCGCCTACGAGACATTGTAAACGTCGAACTCCCGACCATCAATTGAACAACAACTCAGTTCCCATGAATCTCCGAAGTGAATTTGAACACTGGTAGATTATCTTCCAAAAACAAAATTTTATTTTACTTTCATGCATCACCTCGAAAAAATGACTGCGGGAAGTTGGTAAAAAAAATTAGCAAATATTTTTGATTTGTTTTTATTTTGGAAAAAATGAAATAAATATTTTTACTTGGTTAATTATCGTGAAATTTGATGAGGATCACCTTTATGATTGATGTCATCCTTCTAAAATTATGTCCTGTAGGAAAAATTTGCATAATCTCACATCAAGTGGAATTCGGAAATTTTGATGTATTCTGGAACATATAGCCCAATTTTATGGCAAATAATTTTTTAGCTTGTAAAAAACTTTTTTATACCCTCCAACATACTTTGTTATACCGTTTGTAACTCTCTGAAATACTCATGTCAGACCCAACAAAGTATATATATTCTTGATAAGCGTAAAATTCTAAGTCGATTTAGCGATGTCCGCCCATCTGTCTGTTTGTTGTAATCACATACAATTTTATTTTGCCAGTAGGAAGGTTAAGTTCGTAAATGGGCCATGTAGGCCCACGTTTTCATATAGCAACCAATTAGCGGTACCTCCTGATATTCGGTATTTTGATGATTTTAGCGACATTATTCACCGGAATTGTTTCAAATTTGGTATTTGAAGTTCCAAATGGGTGCTACAGCCTAAGATAGAAAATTGTCTGTGCAGGGTCACGTCTTCGTATAGCCCCCATATAGGTTATATAACGGTACCTCCCAATATTCGGTATTGTGATGATTTTAACATCATTATTCACCGGAATTGTTTCAAATTACGTATTTAGAGTTCGTAATGGGAACTACAGTCTGTGACAGAAAATTTTCTATGCAGGTCCAGGTCTTCGTATAGGCGCCATACATCAGTGCCTCCCTATATTCGGTATTTTGAAGAGTTTAGGTGCAATAACCACCGAAATTGTTTGAGATGTTGTATTTGAAGTTTGTAATGGATGCTGCAGCCTATGACAGGAAATTGTCTATGCTCCGATATAACAGTATCTCCATATATACGGTATTTTGATGATTTTAGCTACATTACTCACCGTTTATGTCACGTCTCGAATTTTAATATGGTAATGGCTTATGACAAATAATGCTTATGTAGGTCCACGTCGTATAGACCCCAATATATCGGCTATATTCAGTATTTTTAAAATGTTAACAGAACTTTTAATGGATTTTAGTTTTTTAAAAAATTTCAAATTTCTTTCCAAAAGGTGAAGGGTATTCAAAGTTCGGCCCGGCCGAACTTACTGCTTTTTTACTTGTTAATTATTTTATTATTATTATTATTACTACTATTATTATATTATAATAATAATATTATTATTATTATTATTATTATTA